GCTAGGGTGTTCTGGCTAGTTGCTAGATGTATCTAGGGTGATATGTTGTTGCTATGAGTGTCTAAGGTGTTGTGGCTGGTTGCTAGATGTATCTAGGGTGATAGATTGTTGCCATGTGTTGCTAGGGTTTGCTAGCTGTTTGCTAGGCATTTATTTATACATTAAGGTGTTGCAAGGATATTGTGGCTGGTTGCTAGAAGTATCTAGGGTGATATATTGTTGTTATCAGTGTCTAAGGTGTTGTGGTTGGTTGCTAGGCATTTCTTTATACATTTAGGTGTTGCTAGGGTGTTCTAGTTGGTTGCTAGTGTGTTCTGGCTGGTTGCTAGGTGTATCTAGGGTTATATCTCATTGCTATAAGTGCCTAGGGTGTTCTGGATACATTTAGGTGTTGCTAGGATGTTCTAGTCTGTTGCTAGGGTGTTCCAGCTGGTTGCTAGGCATTTATATATACATTTAGGTGTTGCTAGGGTGTTCTGGCTGGTTGCTAGATGTATCTAGGGCCATCTGTTTTGTTGTTTTGGCTGGTTGCTAGGCATTTAATTATACATTATGGTGTTGCTAGGGTGTTCTATCTGGTTGCTAGGGTCCTCTGACTGTTTTCTAGGTATATCTCAGGTGATATGGTTGTTTCTAGAAATGTCTATGTTTTTTTTTTGTTTTTTTTTGGCTGGTTGCTAGCCATCTAAGTGTTGCTAAGGTGTTCTAACTGGTTGCTATGGTCTTCTGGCTGTTTTCTAGGTATATCTCAGGAGGCAAGATTGTTGCTAGAAATGTCTAGGTTTTCTTTGGCTGTTTGCTAACCATTTTATTATTCATTACTGTGTTGCTAAGGTGTTCTAGCTGGTTGCTAGGATGTTCTAGCCAGTTGCTAGACATATCTACAGTGTTTTGTCTTGTTGCTAACTGAGCAATTCTCATCAGCATCATTAGCATTTTGTGTCATGTGACTTCTTGGATGGATTGGCTCATTGTTTGCAACTGAATGATTTACGTCTGTAGCCAAAGCAATTTTAAGTATTGACACACATTACGGATTAGACAGTACAAATGTGATCTGTAACACTTAAAGGTACGTATAGATCAGTATAGCCACTGCTGTGCAGGTTATTATGGCTGCTGGCAGAGGCAGGTGGCGGCAAAAAGCATGTGATAATCTGGGAGTGCGTTTCCAGCCAGGTAAAAACTGTGAGAAAACACCATTTACTAAGTAGATGTAGTGCATAAATCATCTACTCTTCCCATCCCTCCTCCTAAATTGCTTTTTCTCTACCATGCTATCTCTCTTTTCCCACAGCCCCCTACTTTTGTGCCCCCTCTTTCTTTTTCCCTCCTCTCTCTCCATCTCATTTCCTCTCCTTCATTTTCATCCTCCTCTCCTCTCTCATTTCCTGCTGGCTGGCCCTCCATCACCCTCTCTCTCGGTGTGCAGACATCACTGCCATATTGGGACAGTGACACCTCCATTAATCAATTTAGCAAACACCACGGGCTGATCTGCACACAGTGTCACGCACTCGCACACATGCCAAAACATCCAGGATGGGTATCTACAATTCATTCACCTTGATCTGGCCCTGTGGAAGTCAAGGTCATGCAGTCCCGTGGGGAATCCATACGTCATGTAATCCCAGGCAGTGACATGTGGGATTATGCATGTCAGTATGATACAATCCCGTTTCCCTATGGTGCTATTAAATTAATTTTTCATATTTAGCATATGCATATGCTCATCGGTGAGTGCTGTATGACAGACAGTCTCATTTACAGGATATACAGCTCTTTGTGCACTCAATACTGCCATCTTCTGATATGATTTTAGTATGGCATTACCAAGATTAATATGTCTAATGCTGCCCCCTACAGGTTAGTAAAGGAACTTAGTGACTGCTGAATGAAATGCTGCCCCCTTTTGACAGGAGAGTAGATTTTCATCTTACTCTTTCATTTGATTGGGGAACTTCACAGTATTTTACACTCAACAGTGCCACTGCCAGGTAGGGATGAACACCATACATTTCTAGGAAAAATAAACGGTTTAAAAAAATTTAAAAAAAACATGGTGCTCGTTTAAGATTCAAAACAGAGGAATTTTCAGTCCAAAAATTTAAAAATAATTAACATTATCAAAGCTGTTAATTTGCACAATTCCTACTTCCTATGCAAAGGAAGACATAGTACTGAATAGAACTGAATGTAATGTTTTTCATCAATTAACTGAATGTTAATTGCAATTAAACAAAAATATATTATAATTTAAATTTATATGAAATGCAATTAGCTGAATTTTGGCAAACGCTGTCACTGGGGTGGTACCTTTTCAATAGGTACACTTTCTTTCTTTGGAGAGTGTAGGACTTACTGTAAGTACATCTTTATATGTAATTTCATAATTACCTTTATTTTTGTACTGTCTTTAAAATATGGTTACAATGTACTGACAACCATTTGTGGTAAACTGAAATGTACTTTAATATGAAATTTCTGTCGTCTCATGCAGTCTCCGAGAATGGAGCATGTCACAACAATGAACCGGCTCACAGACATAAGAAATAAATCTATAGAAAACTTGAAATGTCTTCTATTAAAAGAACCAATTCAAATAAAAAACTAATTATGTAGTCCGTATGGAAAGGTGCATTTCTCTATTAAAGGCACGTCCATTAGCCTACTGTGGAGATGGCCAGTCAGCGTCGGCATTTGGCAACTTCATCTTTGCAGCCGACACTGACTGAGAAAGCACTAGTTTAGTAATAAATAATTATTCCCCTAAAAAAATTTTTTTCCCCGATGCATTCATAATCAATACTTTTGCTGGTGCGCGCCCTTGAGTGTGGAATAGGCTACGCCTAAATGCCTATATATTAAAGGATGGTTTATTAGGTTATTATATTAATCAATTTAATATAAACGTGCAACCAGTTGACTAGAAAAAATCTTTAGACGGGAGCAGGCCTACTAAGCAGAAGGCACCGATCCATTTTAAAATAAAATGCTATGACATTATGAGATGTGTGACTGCAAATCACGTCACGTTGTTTTGCATTGCACGAGTTATGCATGTGAGTCAAAAGTTTGTATTTTATTTAATCTTTTTTATGTATGGAGGTGCGGGAGCACCTGCTAGCCCCTCCCTAGCGCCGCCCATGATTCCACAAGCTGTCGTTTTGGCTTCAATATAAGCTGTTCCCTTTCAGTCGGTCACTCTCGACGTCACGTCGGATGACCGACGAATTGGGATCTCGCTTAGAGAGACCAATCTACTTCGAGTGTAAACTAAACGAGCCAATGCACATTGGCATGCGATTATTGCATCCAGCTGCCGCTGATCACAGCGTGAGTATAAGTAGGCAGCAGATGCAGCGCATATTCAGCTTTTCGCTTCGCGATCACATCGTTCTGCTCCTGACTACTCTACTGCGAGAAGAAGACTGAAGCGCTCTTTGGGAGCTCTTCGTGTTGGCGGTACGGCACTTCACTACCCCCTGTTTGTGTTGCAGGCGGCCATCTCCCCTGTGCGCCTCAGCACGCTAAAAGAGCTATTTCCCTAAAAGAGCAATTACGGGTGCGTCTTTTTAAAGACGGCGTTGCGTGGCAAACTTGACGTTACGTCTTTGTAAAGACGATGTGGGTTTTGCTATAGACAACGGATCACCCGGGCGTTTCTGGATGCGGTCGTTACCTGGCACTGGGCTATGGTCACGATCGCTGCCTCACGTGCCTGGGCATCTAGCACGCTGAGGTGGCGTTTGTGGATGAGTCATCTTCTCATTGCAGGAAGATGATCATCTCGGAGTCGCGGGCCAAGCTCCGTTTCCTCAAGGGGCGGAGTTCCGTTGCCTCTGCCT